AGGAGTAAAACATACAATCTTTCATCATTAAGTATGTTAGCTACACGTTTTTGATAGATGCCATTTATTAGTTTGAGGAAGTCCCCATGAATATCTAATTTTATGAGAGTTTTTATTATGAATGGATGTTGAATTTTGTCTCATGCTTTTTCTGCAGCAAAGGAAACGAGCATGTGATTTTGCTTCTTTAGACTGTTAATATGGTGGATTACACTTGATCATGGTAAAATATACTTTTCTGCTGGATTTGACTTGCCAATACTTTGTTGAAGAGTTTTTTGTGTCTCTGTTCATGAGGGATATTGATCTATAATTTTCTTTTTTTGTATTATCTTGTGAGACATAGATTAAAGAAGTGTTTAGAGGGAAACATAGCATTAAATGCTTACTTAGAGCATTTATAATGCTAGAAAAGAAGAAAGGATTCAAATCAATAATCTAAGCTTCCACCTTAAGAAACTAGAAAAAGAAGACCAAAATAAACCAAAGCAAGCAGAGAAAAAGGAAGTAACAAAAATAAGAGCAGAAATCAATCAAACAATAGGATCTGTTTGGTATCGGGTTAATGCTGGGCTCATAAGATGAGTTGGGAAGTGTTCCATCCTCTTCCATGTTCTGGCAGAGATTGTGTAGAATTGGTCTAATTTCTTCTATAAATGTTTGGGAGAATTAACTAGTGAAATCTTCTGAGCCTGGAGATTTCTTTCTCAGGAGATTCTCAGGTGCAAGTCCAGTTTCTTTAATAGTTATAGAACTATTCAGGTTATCTATTTCATCTTGGAGAGTTTTGGTAGTTTGGTCTTTTCAAGGAAAATGATATAGTTCTTCTAAGTTGTTGAATTTATGTGCATAGAGTTGTTTATAGTATTCCCTGATTTTTTTTTTTTTTGTCTGTGGGATTTATAGCAATATCTTCTCTTTCATTCTTGGTATTGGTAATTTGTGTCCTCTATCTTAATCTTTCTCTCTTTCTTTCGTTTTTTTCTCTCTCTCACACACACATTTCATCTTGCTAGAGGCCTATCAATTTTAATGATATTTGCAAAGAAACAACTTTTTGCTGATTTTATTTTCTTCCTTGTTTTCAATTTCATTGATTTCTGATCTTTATTGCTTCCTCGCTCCCATTGCTGCCATTAAGGGATTGCTTAGGGACTGGGGTGCGAGGGAACAGAGAAAAGAAAAAAGAAATGATGGATCTTTGCACTCTTTCTGACAGTTAGGAGTCTCTTTTCCCACTCCTTGAACCAGCTTCTCCTGGAGCTCTCCTAGTCTGCTCCCTGGAGCCCACTTCTAGTTTTTAGGCTGCACTGAGTTCAGGATGGGGGATATCAGAGGGAAAAAATGGTCAACTCACTTCCAGTTCAGTGGTACTCCAAATTCTGGTTTTCTCCCCCAGTTGAACTGCTACTATTTACTTTTCAGAGTCCTCATCCTTTCTGTCCAGGTTTTATAGCTGCAGTCAGTCAGAACAACCAGGTGGTGTGTGTTTCTTCCATCTGACCCAGAACTTCCATCCCCCACATGCTTTGAGTCTGATTCGGAGAAGGGTTTGGGACCTGATGTACGGGGCCATCTTATCTACCACCGTTCCATCTCCATGAGCTTATCTTCCCCCACTACCGCCTTTATCACCACCCCATGTCCATGAGCTCCACAGGGCTTGTCTCCACTTGAGGTTGAGGCAACTTTGATGATTGGCACATCCAGGACTAGACACATTCCAGACAGCTAAGAAGCATTTCTTCCTTGAGAGATCAATTCCTACTACATGAGAATTAGTAGTTTGTCTACTAAGGGGATACTTAGTGAATTCAGTCTTGGGGCATCATGTTCAAACGTGGTACAGGTTGTCCTGGAGGCCTGTGGTTGCCTTCATGAAGTTCTTTTCCAGGCCAGACAGATAGTTCATGAGATGACTTGATTTTTCTTATAAACTTACTGAAAGGAAAAGCAAGCTTACCTATTCTTCAGGCTCATGCACACTCTCTATGGTGTTTTCTGATGCTCGATGAATTTGTTCCAAATTTCCAGTGCTCTGAGAATGCAGTCAACCTGAGCTGGGCAGCCACATCCTCCTCATAAAGTTGAGTACAAATTCTCCTAGTGCAATTAGAGAGAAATGTCCCAGTTGCAATACCTTGCAGGCTTGATGGAGAAGAAGCCTGACAGTAACCGAGAAACCCATCCTTTTCCTACAGGCCTGTCTCAACCAAAGGAGCCTAGCAATTCAAGGGCCTGTCTTTTTAATATATTTTAAAATTAAAGTCAACATGGAAATGATGTGGGTGGGTGGCTCAAACTGAATGGTCTTTGTGCACCAGGCTGGTTATCTCACTGTGTGTTATACAATAAAAGAGGATCAGATAAACACAGGCATAACCTCTGCCTCCGTTGATAATGTAAATCATCCCTTGTATCATTTGTCTTTCCTTCAGACTGGATACAAAACGCCTAGAAATGAACAATTCATGCCTAAACACAGGAGAGCTTGAAAGCTAGTGTATGTCAGATGTTTATTCTAGGTCATCATTAAGGGGTTGAGTTGATTTGCCTATAAACACAGGCTATTCTGTCAGTGGGGAGTGGGAGAGACAAGGTGTTTCTTACAGTGTGGAGACAGCTCTTTTAAGGACACATTGCAACTTTTCTGCCATGCACAGTAAGTTATATAGATAATTCTTTTTATAGGATACGAAATGTTGTCTCCTGAGCCATGCAAAGCGTAATGTGTTATAGAAACAATGCCTTTTCTCTCCACTTTGTGCAAATGCCATTTTTCATTACCCACTGAGTGGGAGCTTGCTAGAGACTGAAATGAGAACCCCTCCCACAGACGGTCAGGCACTTCCTGACACACACGTAGCAAAGACGTCTGTGGGAGCCCCAGGACATCTCCCTAGGCAGCTTCCCCCACAGTGAAGTTTGGAGCGCCAAGCCCTTGAAGGATGTCACATCTTTGCAGGTTATCCATTTCCACTGCCCTCATTCTCTGCTGAGGGTTTTGTGGGTGGTAGTGGTTGTTTTTCCCACCCAGTCCAACCAAATGCAGCTAAAGAAAAAGTGCCAAGACAAACAGAACGAGAGCCTTGGGGACCCGCTAATGGGTACACAGCGTAGAGTGCAGTAATCATTCTTTTGATTTGTACTCAGATATGTTTTCTATTTGCTTTTGCACAGAATGCACATTTTCCCCCTGGATTGCAAATAATCTGAACCAGGGTAAAACCATTACAAAGTGGCCTTCAAACATCATGTCTGTATTGGAATTGAATGACTGATCAGACATTTAAATACGAAAACTGGGAATTCTGGTAAATTGCACTGATATGGTTTTTGAAAACATGCTCAGAATTGTTTAAATAATCTTTGCTTCCTTGGGTCTTTCTCTCTCTTTTTAAAAAGATTCTGCAATTTTTTCCTATTTATTTTGTTCCCATTTGGTTTGATTTTAATGTTGTTCAATGATTTGGTTGTATCCACAAAGCCAAAAATAAAAAATTACTTTTGCATAATTCTAACAAATAGAACAAGGAAAGAAGATGAGATGGAATTCTCAACATCCCCAGTGTCTGGTGATCTCTGCCCTTTCTCCAGGGCCACTTTCTTGAGATAATCGACCTCTTCTTACATTGTCATCAGTGTCTCTGGACTAGCATCTTTGAAGTCAAAAACAAGCAAAGAAGTAAGCACATGTAGAATGACTGCTTCAGCTGGGTGCCCTGCACACCCACCCACAAGAGAGGGAAAGGAAAAGCAGAGCTGGGAAATAGAGTGAACAGCTCACACTGCACTGGGCTGGACTCTCCTTTGGTGGAGCCCCTGATGGCAGTCAGGCAAGGAATCCTACAACAGGGCTCTAAGTCCCAGGTTAATGTCAAGCGCTGGGTTTTCTTTTAGTTACTCGAGGATCAAAGGGAAATTACTCAATAAAAAGGAACTTAAAGGGGACTTCTGGGCTGACACAAACCTTAATCAAAAACGCTTGTTCAAACGCAGCTTCCTTGACCTGCCTTTTCATATTGTCTTTCCAGTGCTCATACACATGTGTGATTAAAATAAGGATTTTCTCCATCATAATTCAGTGTTCCCTTTCCTCTCAGCTGACCAGAATTTCACAAGGGTGACATGACAGTTTGTTGCTAAGGAACTGAAGATATATGCCACAATTCAGCTTTCTGATGAAGAAGAGTAAATATTTTTCAACAGTTGGATATTAAGTATAAATAAGCAGTGTGTGTGGCGCATGCGCAGTGTTATAACTAACAATAGGAGAGAGAGAGAGAGAGAAAGCACAAATGCCTCCTGTTTGAAATGTGGGTGATTAGCCACCTCCTCTGTGAAAGCTACTCTTTAATAACCCTCAGTTGCCTCTTACTTGTACGAATATCACTCATGCATTTGAACTTTTCACTTCAGCTTGTTTTGCTCCTCTCTGTTCAGATCCCTGTTCCTTCACACTGTCGTGTCAGAGATTTATCACACCGTGACCTGAGTCACATTCTGCTTTAAAAGGAGTTAAGCACAAACTTCCCAGAGTCTCTAATATTCTAGGTGTTCATCAGGGAGACTGGAACATGAGATTCCTCCCACTTGGAGTACACCCACATCGATATTTCTCGAAAATCTATTTATCTTAGTCACGACCTATGAACATAAATAGAATACGGCTGACGTTTCCTCATATCCCGTGTGCCTGAGCGCTGAGAAAAGTTAGCATTTATACAGTTGCAATTTCTAGGAAGAAGTGCAAGAACTTCACAGGGTTTTTTAAAACAAAACTCTTTAAAGAAGCATAACATTTTAAACGTGCCCTTTCTTTTTCTTTTGCACAATTAAAAACGATTTCTGTGTGTCGATTTATTGCTCCTGCTATCATGTTGTTGATTTAGGTACACATACAATAATACACAAGCACACGCCATGAATTAAAGAGGAAATAGACTTATGCAGAAAAGGAAACAGTGATCCTTTGAAAATTGAAGATAGGGCTTAATTACTTACATAGAAAACTACAGGAAGATGTGACCTGAATTTGATTAAAGAGAAGTAAACTTCAGTGGTCAAATCCTTGGGTGCTAGGCCAACACTTTGCTTGAATTCTGTGTATACCCACTGCAGTGGGGGCAATTCAGAGTAGTGCATGTTTACTCTGCCTAATTGAGGAGGTTGGACGCTAATGAGTTTTCTGAACACTGCGAAGAAGAATGTTGCATGTAAAAGGGAAACAAAGGGTACATGGAAATGGAAAACTGTCCTGGGAACATGGGAAAGTTCATTTTGGTGGTCTGGGAGAAATCCAAACAAAATAGGTTTTAGAAAGAGGTGATGTGGTTAAAAGATACTCACCCTGGCTAGAACAGAACTATAAATGTCGAGTTTGACCTGACCTCCCATAAATGATACAGACGTGTGTTGACAAGCAAACAAATTTACAGTATGTCACTTGATTCTGCTCGTTATTTGTGCTACATGGGCTTTCTTTCGTTGGCCGTGAGGTTTTCTCGCAACCACACCAAAAATTTAAAGTCTACATGCAGTCTGGGAATAGACGGTAGGAAGTACCTCTAAATCTCAACACCTAATCGGAAGTGTGTAATGGAAGACGTACCTTGGATTAGGACCAATATAAATTTGGTTTAAGGTGATTAGGGCTATACATTGTCAAGATGAGAACATTTAGGAATCTCAACATGTGTTGAATGCCTTCTGTCCAGGACTCTGTTGAGGGGCAGAGGGATCAAAAAAGGAGCAAGGAGTAGGCTCTGCCCTTGGGGAGTTAGGACATGACGGAGGCACAGAGCATCAAAGAGGCATATAGGACTGCATAAGCAAAGGGTTCTAAGAGGGGCTTTGGCCAAACTTGCTACAGAAAAGATGAATAATCAGAGAAGGCCTCTCCAAAAGGGAGATACTTGTCCTGATAACCAAAGGATATAGAGATGGGGGGAAGGATGAGGGTGTCCTTGGGCTAGGAAAAAACATAAGGAAAGGCAAGGAGGTTGGAGTAGCCCTGAGATGACTCAGAATATTCTGGTTACCCGTTGGTGTGTAACAAATTACCTCAAAACTTAGCAGTCTAAAACAAACATTTTATTTTGCTCACAATTTTTGTGTCTCCATAATTCAGGAAGGGCTCAGCTGGGTGGTTTATCTCTGATCTACATGGCATCAGTTGGGACTAGAGGATCAATTTCCAAGATGGTGTCTTCATGCATAAGTTTGGCCTGCCTGTCTCTCTCTCCCTACCATCTTCTTCATCATGGCTTGAGCTTCTCACAGCGTGGCAGCCTCAGAATAATAGGACTTCTTAGAAGGCAATGTAGGGTTCCAAGAGAGTGCTCCCAGGGGCACAGTCAGAAGTTGCAAGGCTTTTTATGACCTAACCTTGGAAGACCCAGACATCATTTCCACCACATTCTATTTGGTCAAGCAGGTCACAAAGTCCAGCCCATATTCAAGGGAATGGGAATTAGACTCCATCTCTCAATGGGAAAAATCACTACAAAGGTGTGGCCAACTCTAATCTACCATAAGGAGCAATGAATAAAGGAGAATGATATAAATAAATGGTCAATGCCCAAGAGCAGGAGCAACTGTCAGAGCAAGAGGCAGAGGATGTGTGTGGTGGGCTTTGAAGGTGAATCTCTAAGAGATTTGAATGTTTAGAGGATAACATCTTCTCTCCTGGCACATCCTTTCTTGTGGAACTGCACTTAGCTAGACGAAAGAGAGCACCAGGATTTTCTAGAGTTAGCAAGCATTGGACTAGGTAAGCAAAGGAGACTGAAATTCCCCTTCTGAATGTCTCTAACGGGATACTTTCTGGTCAGAGTATATTTGGTTGTAAAGAACAGAAACTCGGGGCCGGCCCAGTGGCATAGTGGTTAAGCATGCGCACTCCACTCTGGCGCCTGGGGTTTGCAGTTTCGCACACCCACACACCGCTTGTCAAGCCATGCTGTGGCAGGCATCCCACAAATAAAGTAGAGGAAGATGGGCACGGATGTTAGCCCAGGGCCAATCTTCCTCAGCAAAAGAGGAGGATTGGCAACGGATGTTAGCTCAGGGCTAATCTTCCTCACCAAAAAAAAAAAAAAAAAAAAGAACAGAAACTCATTCAAGCCAGTTTAAGAAAAACAAGGACCTATTCAGAAGCACAACAGGCAAGCATAAGGGCATTCCAGGACAAGAGGTAGGGGATCTGGGTCACAAGAAGTTTGACAAGTCTGACACTGCAAACCCCAGAGCCAGGGTTACCCCCTCTGTCCCTGATAGGGGCCTGAGGTCTCTCTTCTCTGTGTCAGCTTTGATCTCTGGCTTGTCTTAATAGACAAGCTTTCTCTGCTGACTCATCAGAGTATATACGGCTGAAAATGGCTGCCCCAGGTCCCCATGGCCTTTGATTCCTAAATGGTCCATATGCCTTTGATTCCACGCATCCATCGTCTGGTTACAGACTGTGTACCTTTTAACTTGAATTCTGGAGAGAAGGTGTCTGGTTGGATCAGACCAGTCTATGGATTGGTTCCCCTTGAGTCAAATATCCACTCAATACAATCAAGTATGCCTGGAGAATAGGCTTAGATGTTTAACGAAAAGTAACATAAAAGCATAGTCATCTAGTTGTCCCCCTCCGCCATCAGTGAGACAGCATAGACGGGGAGCAATTCAAGAGAAAAGGTTTAGGATGGCTAAATGACAAGAAAGAAGGACCATGTGGAAAACATGCCAGCCTAGAGCTGGGGACTGGGAAAAGGACAGAACAGCTTGGTCCTCAAGTCATTCTTCATTCATATTCCAAACCCTTCCCTGAAAGAATCAGACCCATTTCCTATTTGAACTTGTCCTGGCAGCCTTGATGTATGAAGCAGTAAAGTAATGGACAGTAATGGATAGTATCGAAGAAGGTCCTTTCTTATCTGGCTCTTGCAGAGGATTTTAATGCTTATAACAGTATTTGGGGGTATTAACCCTCTCTTCCTATACTATTCTCCAGCACACCCAAGTCATAAGGGAAAGATTGATGGCATAAGTGTAAGCTCTTTAATTTTGTCAAAGAAAATTATTAATTAAAAAAGTGAGTAAGAAAACAAATTCCAGTTGAAGAAGAGTATTAATGACACTTCATACTGTCATGGAAAAATGCAAATGGGGATTTTCCTTTTCCCTAATTAGCAGACATAAATCAGGATAAATTTTAAATTGATGAGAGCTCTTTCAACACCAGAGAAAGGTACTGACCTTCTTGTGGTAAAGGTAACTATGAAGTACATTAAAGTCACCATTTTCTCAGTAATCAAGTTTACCTCCACAATAACTTTGGACTATGACACTCCTTCAGAAATGCTGTCTGCTCAAAATTCTTCGAACAACAGCACTGAATGGAATTCTGCTGGGGTAGGAGAATCATGGCTGGGCAGTCAAAATCAATTTGTTCCTGTGATTGACATGAGGGCCTGCATGTCAGCCAAGCTCTCTCATACCATCTGTGCTCTGATGATGATCAATAGGTATTTGCAACATGCCCAGGAAATGTGCTTGTTGATTACTTTTATGTGAGAGAAGACAAAAGCATCTCAACCTAGAGCCTTCTAATGTAGAGGTAGAAGCTGGTTGATGAATTATTACAATATAGTTTGCACTGATAAACTTTTGAACTTTCATTGAACTTGTAGATTAAGAATAGGCAGTTTTTCCAAGAGGAAAATTCACCAGACAACCAACAATTTTTCTTTCATGTATTTAAGTGAGATGTTCGATCTGGTAAGGAAATAATAGTAATTTATGTCTTTGATAATTGAGAAGGATTATAGCTCTATACACAGAAAAAGCAACCATCACCCAGGCCCTGTGAGTCACAAAGCCATTAAAGAAGAAGCTTCCAGCTTAAAAGCAGATGAAACCTCCAGATTTGGAGGGTGATGTTCTCCAAGAGGGAGTTGAGAGAGGGGAAAGAAATCCCCATCTACTTGTAAAATCAGGGCCCCCCTCTGCCTTCCTTCCAAACAACCATAATGACACTTTTCAGATTCAGCTTGATCTCCCACACTAAAAGAAACACACACACAGAACCATTTCTCTTGGCACACATAGCTCCTTTGCATATACCACTATGCACATACATAAGAGATCCACACTGACCCTCAGTGGGAGGCAACCCTCCAAATATAAACAATGAAGCTGCCTCCTTCAATCTGCAGAGAATCATCATTCTCTGAACATCATTTGTCCTGTAATCTGTAAGAACAGCCTGGAGCAGATTAAAGGTTAAGGGGGAAGATTGCTGACCAGCTGGAAACGTGTTTGGTACATCCAGCTCACTACGAGAAATTACTTTACGGATAAAATAGCATCAGCTGAGATTAGATTCCTGAGAGATGGGAATTACTAATTTTGCTGCTATGACACTAAACAGCTTGTATTAAAAATACATGCTGGCTTGTGGCTCTTTGGCTTGGTTGGTACAATGTCCCAAAGACTTCAACTAAATGTTGGCTACCCTACAGTTCAGTTGCCCTTATTAATGATAAATCCTATTGCCTTCCTTCTTAGATCTCTTCACTATAACGCTTTTGCTTCCCTGGAATTCAATTTTAGTCAATCTTACTGTTACTTTCAGTATGCACCTTGCTAGATGCTCAAAAATGAGATGGCACAATCTTATCACAAGTTGCTAATAGCTGCTGTTTATAGCATCGCAGGTGTTATAGTGCAAAGCTGGGAAACAGCCAACAAGAATGAGGAACACAGTCTCGAAGAGAAGCTGAGGGATGGAGCCAGCAGCTCCATTTGGAGGGTCCAAAGTAGCTATTTCAGTTTCAAGTTGCGTAAGTCTTCTCAAGTCATGGGGTTAGGTGTTATTATAAGAACACAAGACCTGGTACCGGGAAGCCATCAGGAACTTGGGCAGGTCTAGGGACCCATTATTCTCTCCATCTCTCTCTTTCTCTTATGGCATCTCTACCACGTCTGTATGTCTGCTCCATTCTCCTGTCTCTACTGACTTGGCTTACTCCAAGTTTCTGTTTCCTCATAACCGTGGTTTGCACATGACTGCTCATGACCTTGACTCTATCTCTTGGTGTTTAGTTTTAGCAATCACTACTAACTGCCTTATTCAAATTTCTAAAAAGGAGAGAAAGAATTTAATCGTGCCTACTCGCATTTCATGTGGCCACACTCTGGGTTACTG